AGCTGTCTTGATTTGTTGTCCCTTTTTTTTTCCTTTTGAATTAGACCACTGTTCATGGATATATATCCATCAAAGCAGTACGCAGGCTCACCGTTTTCCCCCCACCGGAGACTTAAAAAAAAAAAAAAGAGAAAAGAGAAAAAAAGACATTGATTCTGCTGAACACCGAGAATCAGACTGAACCTAAACAATTTCTCCATGTGGAATATTTGACCCTGCTTCTTTCCTGGGATCGTGTTTTAATTGGGATATTAATCTGTAAGTCTGTGGTCTTAAAAGCTGTGTTAATACAGCACCACAATTAATAACTTTATATAGATTAACAATATACACGACCAGATCTATTAGTTCATCCGGTAAATAAAATTTGACATGTTCATGCACATGTGTTGACGAGTATTCAAGTGGTTCATAGTCCATTCAATGAATTAGCGAAGCGTAAATGCAGCTCAGCCTCTCGCATTATAAGCATAAACTAATATTCATGGAGACAAAAACAGAGTATAAATGCTTGTTCACGTTATTTTACAAGGCATGAGAGTATCAAAGCGTATAATGAAAATCCAGGTTAAAAAAAAAAAAAAGGAGCGTAGAGGAAAAGGGCACGTGTATGACTTAGATTGTGGGCGAAGATTAACTGCGATTTTTTCCAAATTTATGAGTCTCATAGAATTTATAATAAAACAAATCACAAAAAAGCGACCTTCAAAAAGCATCTCATGACTCTCTAACAATTCTCATGGGGGTCGATATTCAAATCTCTTCCAACGAATGGGAAGGAACGATGCCTTAATTATGGCAATTAGTGTTCACTCAAAAAAAAAATGATGGCAATTAGTGGAAGGGCCTGAGTGGGATCACGAGATGGCCTGTATCCGCTGGGTCCGTGTCACAAAATTACTAGATTAATTAAATTACGTGAATAATACATATCAAGGACACAATAATATATTAATCAATCTTACTAATACGAGAACTCATGATAATGCAATGCCCTGGAACAATTCGTGGCATTCGCAAATTGCAAGTGACATATCATTCATACAGAAATTAAGGTCGATTATATTGATTCATAAATAGGTATTACATGTCTTTAATATAAAGGCTAATTTGACCTTTAATTTGATTATAAATATAAGACTCAAATATATTTTGTTTATTATATTTATTCTTTTTTTAAAGTAGTCTTTATAGTAATTGTAAATATTAAATATTTTATCAAATAGTAATTTTAGCTAATATACATAATTAGTAAAAATATTTTAAGAAAGATAATATCTATTTATTATAAATAACTAACTTAATAAATTTTTTAATTTATTTAAATTAATTAATTAGTTTTTATATGAAAAATTAGATATAATATATTTTGTGATTATATTTTATAGATAGATAAATACATACAAGCCACAGTGCCACCCCACTGAGTTGCACGCCTCTCGTGCTTGAACAGTCAAAAAGCGGCAAAATTAGCTATTCCATCAGATGAACACCGAACAAGAAGACAGAGTTGGACAATGTCCCATCAGTTGTCGACCTCGCCCACTCGCACAGTCACACTCCTCATTGGTAATATTTGTTGGGTTCTGATATTTTTTCTTCCTCTTTTTTTTTTTTAAATAAAAAATCCGGATTTTGGTTTTGAATATAATAACATCTCTTTCTGTTTTTTTTTTGGCACTCCAGAATCTCCAGCACGCTTTTACCCTTTTTTTCCTCACGTGGGGAGCACCAATTCATCAATCACATGTTCCTTAGAGTTGATAATATGAGTTGGATCTATTAACCCGTAAAAAATTAACAAGTTAGGATTGATCAAAAGTCAACCAACCACTATTTCAAAAAATATAATCCGCACCGCTATATACGGAACTCATGAGCCAACCCACCTATTTAAAAAAAAAATAATGAAGGCAAAAGTAAGGTAGACTTCCACTTCAAATTTTATTGCCATTAGAAATAATTAGATAAAGAGGATTATTCAATATTGCTCGTTGGTTTTATTGGAAAAAAATATGTGAACTTATATATTATCGTATTAGAAAATTAGACAATCGTATTGTATTTTATTGTGTTGTAATTTTTATTTGGATGTTTGTAATATTTTATATCATTTCTAGAGTTTTTATTTTTGATTATGTATAGCTGCCAACATTTTTAAAAAATGAAAAAAAAAAATCTAACAGGTTAGTGGGTTCGGCCAACTTGCTAATAAACGGGCATTTTGAACCCATACCAAGTAACTCGTAGCCCGTCACAGGCTAACCCACAACTCGAGAGTTGGCCTGTATTATCAGCTTTAATGCTCCTATTACCGCCCTAACTATTGTCGGATATTGTCTTGCCCTATGTTGTATTCCTCATCGTAGGACTAAATTATTGCATCCATTCGATTTTTAATATAATAATTAATTTGACTTTGAATATAAGATTTTAAGTTATTTTGTTTTTCATATTTAGTTATTTTTAAGAATATTTTTAATAGTAATTGTACATGTTTAAAATTTCATCAAATAGTAGTTCTAATATGCATGATTAGCAATAATATTTTAGAAAAGACAATACCTATTTACTATAAATAGATAACTTAATAAATTAATTAATTAGTTAATTAGAAGTAGTATTAAGTAAAAAGCTAGGAGTTAACTTACCAAAGGATAACGTTAATGGATGATTTTAAAAAGTTCCTAGTTCGTAATTGAAATTATAAATTGATGAATAATCTATGATAAAATGACGAACTTTTCGGTACAGACCATAAACAAATTGACTCTGATGTTTTTGCCTTTTGTTTTAATTTTATGTACTTTTTTTTTTTTTGCCGTTGGGTTTCACAACTGCTTGCCATGGTATGTTGGCTGTTGAAACTTATTTTTTGTACATATTATTTTTTAAGTTACTAATAAAACTATTAGTTATAAAAAAAAAAATCTACCGCGAGCCATTTTATTTCATTCTATTTCATCTCCATCATTTTTGGTAAACCAAATGGGCTCTACAGATGGCAAAAAGAACACCTCACACGAGTTTTTTTTCACTCTCCCCCCACCAAAAAAAAAGAAGAAGACAATTTTTTGCCTTGCAAGTATTAATTCAAGGGCATGGCTCCCACATGCGGCGCAACATGTTATTCTAAGTGCCCGTTTGGATTAGCGGTGAACAACTGTGACTTTAGATAATCGTGAATTTTATAAGTGATACTGGTTAATCGTGATTTCTGTTTGGATATTTTTTTTTATAAGTGATTTTAAGAATTGTGATTATGTTTGGTTTTTATTTATTAAAATCACTTATGGGTGTATAATTACTAAAAAGGACATGAAATTAATAAAGTTGTTTACATTTTCATAATTATTATATTTAATAATAAATTTTATTAAATATAATTTAATAAATGACATGAATATTTAAATATTATTTTTATTTTAAAATTATTATTATTTAAAATCACTTACAAAATTTATGTGTAGTACAAATATTAAATAAAAGACCCCATATAAATAAAAGATGAACGAAAATATAAAAAAAAAATTTGATTAGCAATTTTAGTAACATAGATAAGGAAATTGAATCTTCAATCAAAATTATAACTAAGAAATAAAATTTAAAAGAAAACATTTTCATATTGTATTTTTTAAAAAAAATTAAAATAATTACCATTAGAATGAGGGGTAGATTGGAGAAAATTTAGTTACTGAAAATTCATCGGGATTTTTCAAACGCATAAGCTATCTTTTGTTGCTTATCCTAAAAGTACGGTGAGAGGATAAAATCACAATTCATCGAGATTCTATAAAAATTATCCAAACACCCTAACCATGCTTCATAAGCACTTATTTGAATTTAAACAGACTTATTTGAGATCCCACCGCTTAACCAAACAGGCTATAAGATCGGTGATATATTTTAAATGAAAGATTTATTATTTTTGCTAAAAAGAAATACTATTTACTACGTATTTGATTCAACTTGACTATTTTTTATTATTTATCAATAAAGATGCGATCGTGTCTCTTTGTCAGATAACAAGGTGACTTTTCATTCAATAGAGTAATGTGAGAATGATAAATGTCGTGCCAAAGAATTTTGACACAATCATTATGCCACTCTGGCCATATACTTTCCTTTAAGTTTTACCATTGACCGGAAGAAAACAAAATCAAGATCTGCGGGCATTTTTATCAAAGTAAATTAAAATCTCTGGAAAAATAACCCCAATCACGGCATCCTAAATTCATTTTTTTCCTTCAATTTTTTTCTTCTCTTCCTCTCCTATGGATTTAAGCTCGCTACTAGGCTAACCTTACCCACTTTTGATCCCGCGAAATTTGCGTGAAGGATCTTGTTATACCAAATTCCTTAAAAACTAGTACGTAATTTTTCCCCCTAAACCACAACCAATTATTTTCGGGTCTAATACCAGTACAGATAAGTTTTGGGTGTAATGTTTTTCATTTTTAGATAAAATCTCCATCTGATCATCGAGGACAAGAATGCACTGACAAACTCACAGCCGACCAATCAATAGCAGTGGATGTTGGAAAACAGTCAAACGGGGGAGGTCTGGAAGAGAGGAGGAGAGGAGAGCAGAGAAGAGAAGACCCGGGGGAAGGAAGAGGCGTGACAGTCCAACCAATCCGGACCAGAGTCCACGCAGTGAGAGGTGGCCAACAGTAATTCCGTCCTTTCTTTTTAGACTTTTATAATACAACAAAAGTTTCCAGCGAGCTAAAACACGAAGAAAGAGGGGGAACGAAGCGACAGAAGCTTCTGTTTCAGATTCGTTCTCACAGCACTTGTTTGGGGGAGTCAGCCAGCTGTGACTCTCAGCTTCAATTCCACTTCTCAAGACTCCTCGCCTCTCTTCTCACTGTTCTTCCTCCTTTTTACCCTCGAGGCTTCTCTTCAACTTTCTGTATGTATTTCTGCATCAAATTCTTTACATGAGCTGGTATCTCTTCTGATACTTCCAACTTTAGGTATTTAAGTAACCTTTTGTTCTTGTCGCAACTTTATGGCTGTTCTGCGAAACTGTTCTTCTACATGATTCCCTTCTCAGTTCTGTTTCTTTCTTTTGTTAATGATAATGGATCGAATCTGTTTGTGTCATATTAAGCATTTTTTATACACGTCTGGGGTACTTTTATATCCTTATTCCACGCCTTTACTCTTCTTCGCCTGCATAACAAAAAGATTTGTGATTGGGCGAACTGCAGCTCTCTGATTTGATTCCCCCTTTTATCCCCACTTTTTGTTGGAATATAATGGAACCACGGGAGCCAGTGACCTTTTCATATCAACTCTCATTTCGAAAATTTAATTCTTTGGGTCAGTGTTTTATCATAGGTTCTCATGGCGACTATAACTATGCGTTCTGCTCTTAATGTCAGGAAGGCTTACCCGCCCCTCAACTCCAATTATATGTAATATTAGTAAATCTACACGAGTCTGTGAATAGGACTCGTAGCGGTCAATGTTTTTTCTCAAGATATCACCTCCGTTAACAACAAAGCGAACTTAAGGGATGATAATGATTTCTCTGTCTGTTACCACTGCAGTAACAAAATTCATGCAATTGGTTCTCGAGACTGCCATGTGCTATAGAATGGTATTAGGCTCCCAACATTAAGCATCTCTATGCTTGGGAAGAATTCACGACCTTCCTCACAGTCCCCTTTTTCCGGGGGAGAGGTAAATGAGTGAATGAATTAGCGTTAAGCATCTGTTCTCTAGCTCGACCCTGCTGGCTTAGTTACAGAATAGTTTGATTAATGGCCACGTTGTCGTGGAATTGCAATTTGGTCCTCTCTTCGATGCAATAATAGTAAACTGATGCCATTTGACATTAACATATGTGCATATGCATAAAGCAACCTATTTCCTTTGATTGACTCACAGATATGGTTGATTGTTTTCTATCGCATTGATTTTCTTTTCATCACTCTACTGTTTTGATTTATTTTGTTTATGTTCAAGCAGTGTACCCCCACCCCCACTTTTATATGGTGTTTACTGTTGCTATGCAATGCTCACAGCTTAATGGTTTGATGTCTCTGCAGAGATTGGCATTGGTAAATTGACCATTAGACACATCGTCTTAGCAGTTGATGCCAGTGGAAATGGACTTCCTGATTGTGCTTTTACTATTGACTTGCTTACGCTCTTTTGTATCTTCTGATTTTCAAGGTACAATATGCTATTTGTCTGGCACTCCACCTGTTCAGAAAGCAGTAGGCTATGCATACTTAAGCAGCAGTTTTGTCTTTTGATTTTCTTTTGTTCTGCCTTATTTATCGCTGGCAGGTCGCTAAATCTCCATAATTAAATTCTGTTATATTGTTTTAGTGCGTCGTAGAAAATCTTAACATCCTCACACTGCTATTATGCTTCGTAAAAAGTTGAGCAAATCAAATGTATGTTTATCTTTTCTATTTCTAAACTTTTTATTACAGGGGCCGCTACAAAAATTAACTTTATGCACACAGTTTTCTCAATTTCATTTGCCTATAGGATTCCTCTCTTTTATGCTTTCTCACTTTGAGTAGAATCAATAAGAGTGTTTCTTCTAATCCTATTTTAATATGCATAATTCTATCTATTGCTATGTATGAATTTTCATTTTGGCAAAATGCGGAAGAAACTTTTTTTTTTTTGAGTTGGAACAATGAAAACTTTGGGTCCTGTAAGATCCAGAAAAACAAATTCATCTTTTTTAAATTATTTAATTATTTAATAGCATTTGCATCTCTGCATCTGTTTTTGCTCCAACCATAATAAGTTGCCAGAGGCTGAGGCAGCTGAAAATGTTATGCATTTGAAAGATTTCTGATAGCGTGATTTTCTGAATGACGTATTGATGTTGGACCCTTGGCTCTAGCTGGTTGATAACATTCCTCTTCATTTCAGGAGATGCGTTATTTGCACTGAAGTTGTCATTGAATGCTTCGGCTAATCAGCTTACTGACTGGAATCAAAATCAAGTAAACCCTTGTACTTGGTCCCGTGTTTACTGTGACCAAAATTCCAATGTTGTTCAAGTGTAAGATATTCTTATGCAATGTTCTCTTTATTCTTTTCTTTTAAATAATTCGTAAGCTGAATATGTTGACAATCCTCATCTTGATGATTCCTTCTAGGCTAGGTATTCCCATCCTATTTATCCTAACTCTGTGCCTGCTGTATAATTATGTAACTTGCCTTGCTGCAGTTCATTAGCATTGATGGGATTTACTGGGGTCTTGACTCCGAGAATTGGAGCTCTAAAAAGTCTCGCAACTCTGTAAGCATTAATAATAATACGCTACACATGCAATCTAGGCCACTCATGTGCAAGGTTATATTACCTTTTGAATTCCGTGCAGTTTTATATAATGGAGAACTTATTTCCTCATATCGGCATGCTAGTTATTAAAAAAATGTTTACTGGTAGTTGAGTTGTTATGACTATTTTGCATCCTTGACCCTTCTCTGTCCCCTTTTTAGTACTGATTTGATAATTTAATGACTAGTTTATCATTCTTGGGACACTTAAGTTTTATCACGTAAAATCATACGGCGTGAATATATGTGCGCACACATGTAGGTGTGATTTATTTTTTCATAGCTTATTTTAGGATCCAGGCATAGTTACATATGCATTTCCCACCTTTTCGTGGATAAGATCAAGTGTAATTGTTAGAAGCAGTTACTTTCTTGTCATATATTTGAGAAATTGAAACTGTAATATATATATATATATATATATATTCTATAGTTCATGAAGTTTTAGTGGTTTAGTTTTATTTGATAAGTATAGTTTGGCTATTATGCAAAATTATTTATAGCTATTCAACTAATCTCATTATCTTGTCTCATTTTTACATTGCTCATGAGTATATTGATCATATTTCAAAAGTTTTCTTGGGGGCATGGATAGTGGATTTGGTGCATGGTCTAGGTGCTTACTGGTATTTTACGCTGTAATTTCAGTTTCTCTCTTCCTCTAACTTTCTAAAATGAAGAAAGGTTTTGATGTATTATCATGATATATGTATTATGCATTTATAATGCAGTTCATTGCAAGGTAATGGCATCACTGGTGAAATACCAAAAGAATTGGGAAATCTGACCAGCTTAATCAGACTTGATCTTGAAAACAACAGATTAGCAGGAGAAATACCATCTACCCTTGGTAATCTTAAAAGGCTTCAGTTTTTGTAAGTATGCTCTCTTTCTCCTACGTTTTGTAGTTTTGAGCAAAAATATAACTTTTGGTCCCTGTAAGTTGGCAGCAACTTTTAATTTCCTCCTAAAATTTTAATGTATTCTGATTGAAGTTTCATTCGAAGTTGACATATATGTCATAAGATTTTGGATTTCCTCCTTATCTTCGAATGCTTAACTGTGTTCTGTTTTATTCTCTATAACCAGGACTTTGAGTCAAAACAATCTCAGTGGGAATATTCCTGAATCACTTGGCAGTCTTCCTAGCTTGATCAATGTGTATGTGAAATATTTTGTTATGCAAAATGCTTCTGAAAGTTGCACAAGTAACTTCTATGTTTGTCTTATTCTTAGAGCATCTGATGGATTGTTTAAACTCCTCTTTGCAGTCTGCTGGACTCAAATAATCTCAGTGGTCGAATTCCCGAGCAGTTATTCAACGTTCCTAAATACAAGTATGTGCATTAACTTAGTATTCCGTTGACTATTTAAAGCACCAATAAAAGATGTATTTTCATCTTTGGCCCCAAGGATCACATCTTCCCGTCTAATGTTTAAAGGCAATATGGAGAAACAGAAGTTTCTGTATATAGAAGCAAATTGAAATCCTATTCTTCCTTTTATCTGGTGTGGCTATTGTTATATTTTTTAGAGTATTTTGGATAGAATATCGGGGTTTGGGGTGCATGATATATTTTCCATTGGTAGAACATCTCTTCGTCGGTTGTTCTTCACTTTTACTGTCTGTGTTGTTGCAGTTTCAGTGGAAATAAGTTAAACTGTGACATGAATTACCACCACCCTTGTGCCTCTGATAACGCAGATCAAGGTTATCTGGTTAAAATATTTTGTTGGTTTTTTATGAGGTGCTGATATATTTTCCTCTCCTTGGTGAATAGCTAAATGTTACTTTCTGTATGCTTGGCAGGTTCATCCCATAAGCCAAAAATTGGCCTTATAGTTGGAATTATCGTTGGGTTAATAGTCGTGATTTTTCTTGGTGGTCTGCTTTTCTTCTGGTGTAAGAGTAGACGCAAGGGCTACAGACGAGAAGTTTTTGTAGACGTTGCAGGTTTAAGTTCTCATTCAGTTTGTGCTCTGCAATTATGCCATGCTCCTTTAACTGAAACATTGGCATTAATACGGACATGTTTGTAGTGTAAAGTCGTTTACCTTATGATCTGATTCATGCTTTCTATCTCAAGAATATCTAGTACTATAAACTCTGAGTTATTGAGTATGACATTTTCTTCCCCATTATAGATTGATATGTATGTGTGGAACATTGCTTACCCATCATTCATTATGTATATGCGATTCATTTCTTGCTAATTAGGTTCACATATTGGCCATGACAGTCAACAACATTCAGCTGTAGTAAAATTTGCCTCGCTGAATTTGAGGATGTAGATCATCGCATCTGGTTCAATAATGTAGTTTTTACTTGATAATCAGGTTTAGTTCTTCCAGTGTCTTTCTCTTCTATATGCTCAATGTGTTATGGTCGTACTTTTCCTTTTGGACTCCCTGTGTCTAATGTCACATGTTGAAATGTACCCTTTTTCATTCCTCTAAATCTCTCATGTCCAACAGCTACAGTTAAGATCCCACGTTTTTTGGTGGGTTGACAGGAGATTTGCAGAACGAATTTGTTTTGGTCATGCTTTAATTGTGAACACTAGTTAGGAGATAATATCTCACAGTAACAAACTTTTGGTAGAATATTCTTATTAAAACATTCAAGATCAATCTGAGCTTCAGTTTTCCCTGAAACTCCATTTCAAGTGTTTTTTCTTTTAAATATTGTATGGTCAGGTGAAGTTGATCGCCGAATTGCATTTGGTCAACTGAAAAGATTTGCTTGGAGAGAGCTACAGATAGCCACTGACAACTTTAGTGAGAGAAACGTTCTGGGACAGGGAGGCTTTGGAAAGGTTTATAAAGGTGTTCTCGCTGATAACACTAAAGTTGCTGTCAAGAGATTAACTGATTATGAAAGTCCTGGGGGAGATGCTGCTTTCCAGCGGGAAGTTGAGATGATAAGTGTAGCTGTCCATCGGAACCTGTTACGGCTGATTGGATTTTGTACTACTCCAACAGAACGTCTTCTAGTTTATCCCTTCATGCAGAACTTAAGTGTTGCCTATCGACTAAGAGGTATATAGCTACAATACACACGAGTCTTTCTGGTCTGCCAGGTGGGGGCAGAATAATTTATAAATCATTGTATATATTATATACTGCTCGCTAATTTGACGATTTGCTAATAACTTGAGATTTCCTGTCATAAATTACGTCCATAACAAACATTTGGGGGAATGAAACAAAGATCGAGGCAGTTGGATAAATGTTTGTTTTGTTGTTGACCAGGTCATCTTGCAAGTTTGCACCATTTAAAGTATTCACCTTTCTGTTTTTATGTTTCCAAGGCATAAGTATTATTGATTTACAGCATGTAGCAGCAATTATTTTATCTCATTTTCCTGTGATATCTTGACGACATGAATACTGACGCAGAACTAAAACCTGGAGAACCTGTTTTAGACTGGCCAACAAGAAAGCGAGTAGCTTTAGGAACAGCCCGTGGCCTAGAATATCTTCATGAGCATTGCAATCCTAAGATTATTCATCGGGATGTGAAGGCTGCAAATGTATTACTAGATGAAGATTTTGAGGCAGTTGTTGGTGACTTTGGTTTGGCAAAGTTAGTTGATGTTCGAAAAACTGATGTGACAACTCAAGTTCGCGGGACAATGGGCCACATAGCTCCTGAATACTTGTCCACTGGGAAATCTTCTGAAAGGACAGATGTTTTTGGTTATGGCATTATGCTTTTGGAGCTTGTTACTGGTCAACGGGCAATTGACTTTTCACGTTTGGAAGAGGAAGATGATGTGTTATTACTTGACCATGTGAGAATTTTGATATTTATGGTCTCCTTGTTTGCATCTATTTGTTTTTGTGTTTATTTCTTGTTTATTTAACACCTTTGGTAGTATTGCATGTCTTTGGGTGCGAGGGTGATGTCTATTTTTGCGATGATCTTGATAAAGTAACTATTGCGGTGAGCTGATAGAGTAAAACTATGTTCCCGCTGTTATGCTTCCCTAGATTTTCCATTCACTTTATACATACAGGCTTACACATATACACGTTTATGTCCGTGTTGGCGTTTAAAAATGGAAATGGGTAACAGGTTGCTCATTTTAAAGAATAATGTGTTATCAGCTTCCACTGTCTTCTGTTTTTGAAATTAATATGCCATTGCTTCTCTTGCATATGTTACAGGCTAGCAAGGCCATTTACACTTCATTAGTTGAGATTGTTGTAATTGACCCTTGCATGCTTGTGAATGTGGAAAAATAAACTGTAGTTTCATGGTACCTGCCCCATTTTAGCGAACTATACTTGCTTCTGATTACCTTTTACCTTGACGTGATAAGCAATTAAACAAGAAAACATTCAGGCTTGTCTGAAGAGACGTTTTGTCCTTTATCTTCACTGTGGCGTTTGTTCTTTCTTTCTTTTTTTTTTTTTAAAATGACAGTTAGGTATGTACCATTTTCAACTTTTACTTATTGTTACGTTCTATTTTTATGTGCTTTGCAGGTTAAGAAACTAGAAAGGGAAAAACGTCTAGATGATATTGTCGACTGCAATCTAAATAAAAATTACAACATACAAGAAGTTGAAATGATGATACAAGTTGCATTACTCTGCACCCAAGCTTCACCGGAGGACCGTCCAGCAATGTCAGAGGTTGTTAGAATGCTAGAAGGAGAAGGCCTGGCTGAAAGGTGGGAAGAATGGCAACATGTGGAGGTTACTCGGAGGCAGGAATATGAGAGATTGCAAAGAAGATTTGACTGGGGAGAAGATTCAGTTCATAACCAGGATGCCATTGAGTTGTCTGGTGGAAGATGAGGTGGTGAACTATAAATTTGAATCAGCCATATTTTGTGTTTTATAGTGTTTTTTTGACAGGTTAGCTTGGCGAGAGATGCAAAATTTTATTCCAACTGTAAACAAGAAAAAAGGGGAAACAAAAAAAACTGTAATATTTTATGTTGTGCAAATGATGCTTATTGAGATCTGTCTGTGCTGCTGTTGTATATAATTTTTGTCAGTAAACAATTGTATGAAAACGTGAAACTTTTAGTTGTAATGCACAGTTTAAAGCTCAAGAGTATGGGAGAGGATATCTGCTGTTTTGACTTTGGGCGTTGTTTCGCTTTGTCAGCTATCAGTCATACAAAATCCGTACTCCCTCCCGCCCCCCCTATTTGTGTGTTTAATTTATGCTTGTTCGTACTGATAAAATTTTTTTATTTTTATTTTTTGCCTGTTCGTGTCATAGGAAGATGATGGTCCATTCTAATTTCTAAAAGCTTCCGTTGAAATCATTCTTATTTCTTAGGTGTTGGGAGGCACTCTCACGGAGCTTAGTCTAAATTTACAAATTGCAACTTCCATTTTACCCATATCATCATGCCTCTGGGAGCGAGGCTAGCTACAGACTACAATGCATTTCTCATTTGTGAAATGAAATGGAGCAGACTCGTGCTCAGAAGCAACAACTTTTGCCCATTCTCGCAGCTTCTCTTTCATCCGTTCTACGTCCACCTTGCCTCTGTTCACCACTTCGCTGCATAAACTCAGCTCATCCTGCAAGTACAGAGGAGCCTGCTCCCTGCAATGGCGGTCCCACTCTTCAAAATTAACGCCACATTCTTTGTAATCCATCCCCGCCATCGCCAGGGCTTCTATCGACATTGCTTCCTCTGTTTCTGGTTGCGTGTTATAAACCCAAGACGATATGGTGTTTCTTGATGCTGGTTCTGTAATAAAGCGGCGTTAGCGTTTATATGGATAGACTAAGGCTTCTTAGGCATGTGAAGAAAATAAAACAGTTCACGGAAGCTGCAGTTGCAGAGTTTATATCGTTAAACCTGTGATCTCTCCTCATCTTTTTCCCCACTTCTCTTTGGATTTGTGATCACGTGGTGATATGTTCTTGATGATGCCGGGTAAACTTGCGTCAGTACTTGCGTCATTCCTTATCCTTCACGAGATATATCACTGAACCTTCATTGTTACATTTTTCACGTAATACTTTTGCCCTAAATGAGTCCTAATTTTAAACGTGACCAATTTGGAGGTAAAATCGTGAGCAACGAATTCCACGGTCCAAAATGTTGCAATGACACATATTGACCGGTCCGTTTGACTTGAGTTAATAAAAAAATGTCTGGCTTGAAGTTGAAAGCGTAGTACCAGAGAGAGGGCAAAAGTGCAATTTTAAGAGCGAAAAGGTTATTTCTTTAAATTTATTTGCGCGGATCATTATGTGACACAAATACAAGAACTCAAGAAGACAGATTGCATGTGAATCCAGCGCCACTTCTCATTAGAAGGTTTGATATTACAAGTTTGATCTGACCACTTCTGTTCGTAAAATTCCAAGTCTAACCCGGCACACCATCAAGATTAATAATAGGGAACTTTTCATTTAAGAACATGAGGTCCCATCTGGTATGAAGCATTAAAAATGAAGGATTGAGGTTGTGATTACAATTAAAAAATCATTAAAATAGTATTTAGCATGAGTAATTACTTATTACTATCTCCGGTTCTTAATATAAGACTTTATTTGACTTTTATTTTGGTCCTAAATAGAAGACCTCAATCTATTTTGTCTCTAGTATTTGTGTATTTTTTTTCAAGATAGTCCTTCTAATAATAATAGTTCTAACCAACACACTTGATTAGCAAGGATATTTTAGGAAAGACAACACTTATTTATTACAAATAACTAATTTAACTTTTTTCTTAATCCCCTCAAATTAGTCAACCATCTCTTATAATTAAGACTGGAGGTAGTATATGGGATTAGGCAAACCTATAGATGTGGGATTGGGGAATACCACTTCCCCCTATGGTATTCTCCAATCGCACATCCATGGGTTTGGCTAATCCCATATAACAAGTAATCTTTTATATTAAATATTCTTTTAATAAATTTTCTCAATCTTAATCCCAATCCCTCATTTTCAATGCTTCCTACCACATGCAACCTTAATATACTAATATTTACCGTAAAGGACCATAAAAATCATAATTATTTTGAAGGAATTAAATAGTTAACTGGCCATTATACCCTCATAATTTTTTTTTTGGTTCAGATTTTCTCCCACCGACGTTCGTATTGATTACCGCAAAAACATGCAGAAGCGTTCCAACTCGATTTTATTTGCGTATAGAAGATATAATTCTAATCATGTTCACGGGTTAATATGAACATCCTCCTCCTCCTCCCCACGTGTTAATATACGATACTCACAAATATCTCTTCTTTTCTTTTTTGACAAATTTGTTTATTTCTTTCCGGTAAGCAACTAGATTTCAAGATATGAATTTTGTGGCAACCAGGGCCAATCAGAATGCTAATTGTGGTGTTAGGATCATTTGTTTTTTTCATAAGCATATAATGATCAGTTAACTACATTTTCGTTGCTCAAAATAATTATGATTTTTATGATTATGCACAGTAAATATTTTTCCGCACAGAACCCTTCAATGAAAATTTTCCTTATAAGTCGCTTTACCGATTCTAGTTTTATAGCATCAAATAAAACTTATCATCAGTAATTTTTTTATCCCTTTCTTTTCGAGCTTTTATGTAAAACCTATACCGAAAATCTGTCTATGCTTACTACCTCATCATCTGCAAGAACAGGAAAAAAAATTAAGGAAAGTATAACGCGTGCAAAGGTCTAAAATAAATAAATAGATAAATATATCCTTGTGTGTATTTGTGCGCTCGCATCATTTAGACCACTAAATATGATTTGGAATTTTTTGAGGGGTTTGAAAGACTTCTTTATTAATGATAAATATTCACTAAATATTGAGCTTCTTCGAAATCCAAATAATAGACGTAATAGAAAACACTTTTTTTTGGGTGAAACAGAAAATGCTTTTGGAATTCACTGGGGTTCATCACGAGATGTAGATAAGGTTTTAGAGCTCATGGCCTTTTCTGCTTGATCATATGATGATAAGTAGCAAGTAGCCATGCATGCCTTCGTCTTCTGCTATGGCTTACGTACTTTTAATTTTACAAACCCCACACCAGCAATAGTGTTGTGGCCTGAACTGAGACAACCTATATATGTCTGGTCTGATCTAGATTGATCTTTTCTGGCCAGATAATCTAAATTATTATGATCCTTATAATTTATGCATTGCGGGAGACAGATTATATAATTGTGTATGGAGTCCGTATCTTATAATTATACTCATCCGCTATCTTTTTATGTTCACCTTTATATTGATATTTGTACACACGAAGAATCAATAATCTAATAATGTCTAGCTCGTGAAGTTGAACAATAATATTATATATGGAAATAATTTAATAATATCGACTATTGTTTTCACAATCAAAATCCAATTTCCTCAAACGATTGTCATCATCTGCTTAATGAACTATATACAAGCCAAAATAGAGGGAAGGGGCAATGGTCAGACAATATGTCCGAATAAGAAATCATATAAAAAAAGAGAAGAAGTGTGCATAGTCATTTTGCTGGCATTATGTGATCGTCCATGAGAAGAACAATCTCTCTGAGTCGGTGTTCAGCTTCCTGGTAATTATTTGAGGCAACAGCTTTAGCCCATCCGCGAATCTTAATTTTGATCCACTCCATGCCAAGTTCCGAACTCAAGTTAGCAGTGTGAATATTGTCTGCCTGATGAGCGCCAGAATTTCGCTCAATCTCCTGTGGTTTAGCCAGCAAGTGTGGTTGTGGATGTTCAAAGCTCCCATCCAACCCCTCATTACTGATTTCGCATTCTTCCTTGTTATGGCCTCCAGCCATAGCCAAAGCTTCCATTGACATCGCTGCAAATTCCTGCCTTGTAACTCGTACGTATCGCCAATGTATGTTCGACGCTTTCTTAATTATGATAAAACATGAAGTGCATAACTACTTATATATACAAACATATCGGGCAATGTTCTCTTTTAGACCGATCCAAGGTCAAGACTCAATAGGAACACGGTAAGGAAACCCCACAACATTGACTGTACTTATTGTACGTAACCATAAATGAATTTATTACAAAAAGTATCAGTATGCAAGGCTACATTGTCTTACCTAAGAAATGGGGTGCGCATGGGACATATGGATGATGGCAACTATACCGTTCACGAGCATGCAACGTTATCGGAGGAAAACGCGAGGACGTCAAATATTGACCGGAAATATTCTACGATACAATGTCATCAGACTGTGGCATACTATTCAAACATCGGTGACGCAACAGATTACGAGCTAGCTTCATTTTTGATAGTTTCCGCTCGAAACATAAAAGTTCACTTGACAAGGCACATATATTGTTATTTATGTTTTAATTTGCTTGAAAGTTGAAGAGAATATATATCCTGCAGGGCATGTTAATTTCCTATGTATCATCTGAAAAGCGAAATTGGGTCCCTTGTTTACTGAAACATGCCATGTATCAATTCGTCATAGTTAGCATCAATTCACCGTACGGCGTTCGCTACGTAATTCCTTATAAAAAAATTCAGTATAAATATCAATAATTCAATGTCTAGATCCATAATCTTGTGAACTCTTTGGATTCGGCCTATTTATTCATTCAATCTCTATAATCTCAATAATATAGTTAAAATACTTCAAACCAAGTTTCCATTGTTAAAAAATCTTTCAACAGCGTCATCGCTCGTAAAAGTCCACTAGATCGCTTTGAAAACATGTGCTACGCATAGCAAATGGTAAGGATGTGAGAATGACTGGCGGAAAAAAGTATTAGTGAGAGTGTGTAATTGACGATTCAGCATGCACGTGTAAGGGACTGGATTACATA